TATAAATATATATATTTAAAAATCATTAAGTTGGACTTCACTAAAATGAAAAACTCCAGCTCTGAAGAAAGACAGTTAAGAGAGTGGGAAGGCAAAGCATTAAGTGGGAGAAAATATTTTCTAAATATACATATGATAAAGGAATTGTGTCCAAAATATACCAATAATTTAAAACTCAAAAAGAAAACAAACAATCCAATTACAAAGGGGCCAAAAGATCTGAACAGACAACTGGCTAAAAAAGATATTTAGATGGCAAATGAGCATTTGAAAAGATGTTCAACATCATGTGCCACCAGCAAGGTGCAAGTTACCACCACTAAATGCTGGCAAGAGGATAACAGAAACTCTCATTCACTGCGACGGGAACACAAGATGGTACAGCTACTTCGGAAGAAAAATTGGCTGGAAGTGTCTTACAGAGCTTACTCTCTAACCTAGCAATTACATTCCTAGGTGTTTACCTACACAGCTTGAAAATGGTTGTCCGCATAAATACCCGAACTCTATTATTTACAGAAGCTTTACTCATAATTGCTCCAAACTGGAAGCAACTACTACATCCTTCAACAGGGGAATGGATTCCCATTAGTGACACATCCATACATCATCTACAACAATTCATCAACAAATTCACTCTCAAGCTATGGAGAAGATATGGAGGAAACAGAAATACAATTTTCTAAATTAAAGAAGCTAGTCTATACGATTTGTTTCCAACTATCTGATTCCCTGGAAAAGACAAAGCTTTAGAGACTGTGAAAAGATCAGCAGCTGTCAGGACTCCAGGAGAGGGCATCTTTAGGGCTGTGAGATGACTCTCCCGGACACTGTAATAGCAGCCACGTGACTTTATACATTTGAGGGCTGTACAACACTAAGTGTAACCCTGAATGTGAGCTATGAACTTCACTTGTTGTTGTTGTGTACCATGAGTTGGAACTCATCAGTGACCTTCCAGCAGGTTTTCAGAGGCAGGACGTCTCTGAAAAGTGGAGATTGTCCATCTTTCTCCCATCTTTTCTGCAGCTGGCAGATTTGAACCTCATGCCTTCAGGTTGGCAGCACAGGTTCTTACCAGTAAGCTTCCCAGAATGCATCAATATTGGGTCATCAATTGTAACAAATACACCTTTTCAATAGAAGATGCTAATAATAGGAGAAGTTTATGCAGAGAGTGGGGGAAGTGTATGGAAACTTTCCTTTCTGCACATTTTTTCTGTGGGCCTGGAATAGATCTAAAATATATTCGAAAGCTGGGGGGGGGGCGGAATAGAGGGAGAGACCCAACTATAAAGAATTAAAAGTGACTTCTGTACGAGTTTCATAAACTAGGTGCAAAAGAGTTATTTATAGCTTCTGGTCACAACTCCTTTATCCAAAACCAGAATTTCAAAAATGTTTTAAGTAATGACCACCTCACCAGAAAATCAGGTTTAGCTTCCTCAAGTGACCACTTTGAAAGACAAGCCTCAAGAGATGGCATGCTCTCAACTGTTTGCATAGAAAAGGCAAAAAAAGATCTCATGACCTCGTAGTTACGGTGAGATGAGGAAGGTTTACCAGGAAGCCTGGCCTGTGCACGGATGGCTGAACCCATCACACTGGGAGTGCCCCTTGTCAGTGGAGAGAGGGCACCCAACAGTGGCTGGGAGCTCCTGCAATTAGCCCAATACAGTCACATGTCAGCAGGTGAAACAGAGTAGAAAGGAGGAGGTGGGGCTGGGCTGGGCTGAGCCAAGGATGAATCAAGCCTCCCCATGGGGCGGTAACGCCCTGGCCAAAACTCAAGCTGTAATGAAAACCCCTATAAAAAGATTTCCACCCCGCTGACCTGGTACTCTACACACAGCTTATCACCACTTGCCTCATCCTGCCTGGACGTTAGGTGAGTTCCATCTTGAGGAACCCCTCTTTGCTCAATGTTTTGGGGGATGTGAGTTCATACAAACAGGGCTGTCAGACTTGGGCCTTTAAGTCAGTCAGTGCTGTTTATGGGCAGACATGTCCTCTCGTTGGGATTGCTGCCCTGCTTCTTCCTGAATGTCTTCCCAAAAGGAAGCAAGAAAAGGCAGAGATGGGGCCCCAGAATTCCCACCTGGAGTCAGGAGTTGATTCATGTATGTATGTACTACCTACTGTTTTGCCCATCAGTGATCTTAACGTACATGTGAGAAGCAAAGAAAGCTTTTCTATTTAGGAGATAGAGACTCTAGGGTTTCTTGGTCACTTACCACCCATGTAGCTCTCTGGAGGCGTAGTCCACAGGAAGTTGTGCTGTGAACTCAAAGGTGGTACCGGGCCAGCTGTTCGAACCAACAAGAGACTCTTAGGGAAAATAATGGGCAATCTTCTCCCATGTGATTTGCAGCCTGGAATAACCCACTGGAAGGTCAGCTATGAATTGATTCCAATTCACTGGCAATTAGTTTCAGCCTTGTGTGCATGGCCTTGGGTAAATGGCCTAATGTCTAAAAACCCGTTTCTTTACCTATTAAAAAAAAAGTAAAAATAGTATATATTAATGAAATTAATATGTCACTAATATGCTTTGTAAATTTTTACTCACGTGGAAAAAAGGTAAAGATAATAAGAATTACAGGGGTGGTGCACCCAACTGCTTTGTAAGCAGTAAAGTGTAAATAGATGCAAACAAATTATAAGCAGTAAAGTGTATACACATGCAAACAAATTATATCTGTGTCTGTGTGTTTAATACCATTTAATAGCTGGCACTTAGTCTGAGACGGGCATTCTGACAATTGTTTTATATGTACTATCACTTTTAATGTTCACAATAACCCTATAAATTAGGTAGGTACTAGTATTCAGAATTCTTGGATGGCACAAATGGTTACACAGTCAGCTACTAACCAAAAGATTGGCAGTTTTAACTCACTCATAGGTACCTGAGAACAGAGGCCTGTTTCCAAAAGGCCACAACCACTGACACTCCTGCAGTGTGTTAGATACATACTCACACATGCATGGGGTAGACATGGCATCAGAATCCACTCAGTGGCAACTAGCTTATTGTACTGCTTTCACTCCACAATGAGTAAGAAAATGGAAACAGGTTGTGTACCATCAAGTAGGATCTGACCCATAGTTGACCCTCCAGCAGGTTTTTAGAGGCAGTTAATTATAGGGGGGGAGATTGCCCTTTCTTCTCCCGCAGAGCAGCTGGTGGCTTTGAACTGCGTGCCTTCAGGATTGCAGTGCCGCTTCTTGCCACTAGGCCACCAGAGCTCCCCAAATGGAGGCACAGAGAGGCAAATCAACTGGCCCAAGCTCACAGGGCAGACAGGTGCTGAGACCAGCATTAAAGCCTCTGATCACGGCCTCTAGTCACAGAGAGCTTCTCCTTCCCATTCGTAAAATGTGTTATGTAGGAAAGGACAGAGGGAAACACAGAGCTGAAGCTTTATGAGGAAAGGGCTTCGAAGCAGCCATGCTACTCAGGACACAGCGGAGGCTCATCTGTAGCCTCTTGCCATCGAGAGTTACTTTTTGTCTTTTCCCAGCTAATTTCAGAAATGCCTCAGTTACTTCAGAACATAAATGGAATCATTGAGGCCTTCACTCGCTATGCCAAGACGGACGGGGACTGCAAGGCGCTGACGCGAGGGGAACTGAAAAGACTCTTGGAGAATGAGTTTGCTGAGGTCATCGTGGTAAGACCTACCTGCTGAGTGGGGTGGAGAAGCGGTGGAACAGGAGAGAGTGTTCACCTGCAGATACTTTCCCTCAGGAATCCAGGGCCGCAACCAAACCCAGGCCTACCTGCAGGCAGAGAGAGAGAAGGCCAAGGAGAAGCAATCAAAGGAATGAGTAGGGTCTGGCCCTTAGAGAAAAATAACTTTAATTAACTCCAAATTGAAGAAATGTAGAGGGGCTCTCAAAGGAGAGCTCAAAAGGAAAAGAGCCTGCTAGAATGTTCTAGCAATGAGGAAAGTGTTTGCTGCTGTTTTTAAAACTGCAGTTAACATTTCCAAAGTCTATATGAAATTTGCTCATTCTTTAATAAACACCCATTAAAAGCGAGCTCTGTGCTGGGTTACTGTTGTTGTTGTTATTAGGTGCCATCATGTCAAGTATGACTTGTAGTGACACCTTGTCCGATCCTATGGCATCCTCACCATGTCTTAGGCCTCACTTAGTCTGCTGCTGCACTCACTGTATCAGTCTAACCCCTTGGGTCTGCCTCTCTCTCTCCACAACCCTCCACCTTTCCAACCATGATATCCCATTCCAAGGAATAGCCTCTCCTAGCAACGTGCCCAAAATATGTGAGATGAAGTTTTATCTTCTTGCCTCTAAGAAGTACTCTGGCTGCACTCTTCCAAAAACATTTTTTTTGGGGCTGTTTTGTTCATCCTTGGGATATCCAATGCTCTTACCCAACAGCACAACTCAAAGGCATCAATTCTTCTTCTGTAATTTTTAGTCACTGTCCAGCTTTCAGATACATAGCTCCAATTTATTAGGTAGCTAATCACAGGGGAAATTAAGCTTTGTTCCTGGCACACTTGTACCATGGTCCTTTATTCCTTTTCCCCGCCTTGCTTGACTTCGAGTTCCTATTTAAAGCAACCAGGAAAATGACGGCCTTGGCTACAGGGACGTAAGGACGCAGGATGCTGACTGTGCATACACCACACAACCTTGCACCTCAGGAACCACCACAGACACACCCTTCCCCCAGTCTTAGAGGAGACACCCAAGCCTCAGGGCAGACCCTACACCACTGCTCTGGGGTCACATCACTGTGCTTCTCTTTGACTTGTTAGAGAGACTACTTCTGCAGTCTTGGGGTGCAAAGGTGTCAAGGACAGACCAAGGAAGAAAGACCAGTCAGAATACTCAAGACAGCAGCATTGTTCAATCTTCACAATATATTTATCCAGCTAGTAGGAGCAGCATCCACTTCCTAAATAACTTGCCTCCAGAAACTCTATGAACTTTGATAGGTGTTGATAGTTGTAGAAAGGCTTCAGGCCTTTTGTCCATAGGGTCGCTAGGAGTTGTGCTTGACTTGAAGACAAACAACAACAACCACCCTGTAGGTCAGGAATTATGCCAGACTCAAAACATGCAAAATAAGAGGGTTTTAACCATTCCCCCACTAGCTGGAAGGTTGGTAGTGTGAACCCATTCAGACAATCTCAGAAGACAGGATGGCAACAGCAGCTGTACTCCACACATGAGTGGGCATAAACTTGGTGAGAACCATCCCCACCCCTGAGGGACAGAGACAGGCCTGAAAGAAACCCAACTCCCCCTGTGGTGTCGCTACACATGTGCAGTGTGTGGTAGGGCTGGAGGTGGCTGGCTCCCTCTCCCCGGTGCCTGAGGGGTCTGGAGTAGAGTGGAGCTGGCCTTCCCTCAGGGGAAGGGCACTGACTCAGCCTCGTCTGCTCCTCAGAAACCCTACGACCCAGCCACTGTGGACAAAGTCCTGCGCCTGCTGGATGAAGATCACACAGGGACTGTGGAATTCAAGGAGTTCCTGGTACTGACGTTTAAAGTTGCCCAGGCCTGTTTCAAGACCCTGAGCGAGAGTCCCGAGGGACCTTGTGGATCTCAGGAGTCTAGAAGCCACCACCATGAGACCTCACAAGAACTGAGGGAGGGACAGAAAAGTTGCACTGAAGTGGGAGGGCCTGGGAGAGGTCAGCTCCACGAGGGGAGTAGCCACGGACAGAGTAAGCAGGCTTCCACAGGGCAAGGCATCAGCTCTACTCAGGACAGTCGCCATGACAGGCAATCTGAGGTCCAGACACAAGCGGGAACGATCCGGGAGACACAAGAGACCAGACACTCAGAGTGGAGCCAAACAACAGAAGACAAGAATCAGACCAGAACAGGGCAGTCAGAGAGGCCATCCCAGACCTCAGGACAGGACAGAGCACACCAGACCAGTGGGACAGTGGCTGGAACTGTAACTCAGACCCAGACAGGTGCTATCCAAACCCCAGGTCAGAACAGCAGCCATCAGACAGGGAGCAGTGGCACCCAGCCACGGGAGTCCACAAGTGCCCAGACAGGAGGGGCTCAGATCCAAGGTCAGCACAGGAGCCAGACCAGCCAGGCAGTATCAGGGGGAAACATTCAGACCCCAGCAGGGTCTCAAAATCAGACTGTGCAACAAGACAGGAACCGTCAGACAGGAAACACCAGTATCCACTCACAGGAGTCCAGTTACAGTCAGACTAGGGAAATCCATGGTCAGAACAGGATCCAGACCAGTCAAACAGTGACAGGAGGACATGTTCAGACAGGGTCACAAATCCAGACCCCTGATCATCATGAGAACCGACAGACAGGAAGTTCCAACACCCAGTCACAGGGATCCACTGGTGGCCAGACCCAAGGGATTGAGACCCAAGGCCAAGACAGGAGCCAGATGGGCCAGGTGATAACAGGAGGACACATTCAGACCCAGGAAGAGTCACAAACCCAGGTGCACCCCCAGCCCATGGAGCAGAGCTGGAACCAGACAGGAAGTCACCCAGGAGCTAGAGAGCAGGGACAGAACCAGACACAGTCAGACATTGGTCAAGGAGAGACACAAGAGAGAAATGTTGAGGCAGGAGAGACCGTGCAGGGAGGAGAGGCTCAAAGTGGGGCAAGTGCTCTGACAGACGGGGAGAGAGAGGGGGAGTCCCAGCCCACAGGTTCCCCAGTGGTTCATGAGGAATGGGTGGATGACCATTCAAGGGAGATAGTGGTCCGAAGGCAGGACCAGAGCAGCTCGCACACCAGCACGTCTTCTGCTCAAGGAGGAGAGGCAACCCAGCCTGAAGGTACACGAGGGATCACAGCTAAAGGCCTGTATTCCTACTTCAAAAGCAGCAAGCAGTGAGTTCCTGTTCCTGGAGCCCAATTCCAAGAGAAGATACCTGGAGAGGGCCTGCTTATCCTGCCCTGGCCAGTTTGGTTGGCACATCCTTGGACATCAGCTTTTAATCATGGTGATCCCATGTAGGTCTTTCTCAAGGAGAAAAGTGGTTTCTGCAAGACGCTTTTAATCCTAACCTCCTCTCTTACCTGCTTTCCTATGAAGATATTCTCAAGAGCTAGAAGACATGAGACAAGGTATCCTTCCATGCCAATTCTCCTCGGCTTTGGAAAGTTTCAGAGCTACTTGGAGAATTCTGCCATCTATCTATTGTCCCATTTCTCTTAATGCAGAAATAAAAATTCTTCTAAGTGTTTCATTCAATCACCAATTTTATGGGCATTCTGGGTTAAGGGCCATAAGGTTATGATGACAAACTGGGCATAGTCCCTCCTCTTAAGAAAACATTGTAAGAGTTTTTAAGAGTTAACAAAGTCAAAGAAAGGAGATGTCCTATTTAACACCTAGCAGATATGGGTGAGGAAAGCTTTCATCCTGAGAGAGAGAGAGAAATATTACTGAAAAACTTAAAGTAAAAGTAAATAATAATGTTGTTTGTTGCTGTTGTTAGGCACCATTGAGTCGAGTACGACCCATAGCGACCCTATAAACAAAAGATCTAAACCCTGGCCTGCTGCGCCATCCTTACACTTCCTGACACACAAGAGCCCATTGTAACAGTCACTATGTAAATCCACCTGGTTGAGGGTCTTCCTCTCCTTCGCCGACCCTCCACCCTTCCCAACATCATGTCCCTCTCCAAGGAATAGCACCTCCTGGGAACATGTCCCAAGTATGTGAGGCAAGGCCTCATCATTCTTGCCTCCAAAGAGTGTTCTGGCTGCACCATCTCCAAGACATATCTGTTCGTTCTCTTGGCTGTCCATGGGATGTTCAGTGCTCTTCTCCAACAACATAGCTCAAAGACGTCAATTCTTTTCCTACCGTCCTTATTCATTGTCCAAGTCTCAGATGCATAACTAGTAATTGGAGTGACCATGGCCCGAATCAGATGCACCTTAGTCCTCAAACTGACATCACTATTTCTTAATAACTCAGAAAGGTCCCTAACTGCACATTTTCCAAGTGCAGTACATCTCCTTATTTCCTAACTGCTTATTTCCAAGGGTGTTAATTTTAGATCCAAGCACGATGAAGCTGTTGACAATTTCAATCTGCTTTCCATCCAGCATGACACTGCCTATTAGTACAATGCTAAGAATCTTTGTTTTCTTTATATTGAGACACAATTCATATTGAAGTTTGCATTCCCTTTATATTCTGCAACAAGTTCTTCAATTCCTCTTTATTTTCAGCAAGTAAGATTGTTTCATCTGCATAATGCAGGTTATTTACATTTCAAAACTTTGAGAAAAAGGCGTTTAGATATGTTTCTGTAGAGCACAGCTACATGGCTTCTAAGGAAAATTCACAATATTAACTACACATGCTAATAGAAGTTAAAAATATCCTAATTATATTTGCAATTTGAAAAACACCAACAAAGATGACAAATTAAAGTATAAGAAATCAATAAAGTATAAACAGTAATTCAGAGAGTTCTGGTGACCTAATGGTGAGAAGCTGTGTAATCCCAAAGATATACAATTTGAGTCTACCAGCTGCTCTGCAGGAGAAAGATGGGCAATATCCTCCTGTGTGATTTAGAACCTCTGAAAAGCTGCTGGGGAGGTCAGCTACGAGTCAGTTCCAACTTAACTGCACACAATACAACAACAACAAACAAATTAATGATTCAGAAAAGAAGTACAATAAAATAAGTAACTAGCTAGGTAATTGGAATTAACAAAGTCACCAGACCACTAAATAACCTCTTTTTAAAAATAAAAATGGTGTGATCAAAAAGCATAAATACACAAAATAAGAAATAAATACAAACATTCACAGAGCTTTGGGAGGTTATAAGAAATATTATCCACAAAGAATGCAAAAGGTCATTTTTTTAAGGAAAAAAAAAAGGAAGGAGACAAGACGGAGATGGTTGTTGGAACAGTCTCTGAATACTGCACCTGAACGCACCAAGAGGCCAAAGCAAAGGGAAGAAATCAGGAAGATAAGAAGCTGAACAGAAGATTTCAAAGAGCAGCTTCAGAGACAAAGTATTATAATGAAATGTGCAAAGAGCTGGAGTCAGAATATAAAAATGGACAAACTGACTCAGCATTTCTTAAAATGAAGGAACTGGAAAATAAATTCAAACCTCTAATTGCAATATTTAAGGACACTATAGTCAAAAAATGGTCCAGGAAGCATCAAAAGAAGATGGAGTACACAGAGTCACTGCACCAAAAAGAATTGGCTGACATAGAAGAATTTCATGAAACTACATATGACCAAGTGGCAATGGTGATGGAGGAAGATATCATGCTGTTTTGAAGGACTTGGCAAAAAACAAGGTCCCTGGAATTGACGGCATACCAACTGACATATTTCAACAAAGAGATGTGGGCCTGGATGTGCTCACCCAGCTGTGCCAAGAAACCACCTGGCCAATTGACTAGAAGAGATGCATATTTATTTCCATTCCAAAAAAAATAATTTGTTCCCAACAGAGTATGGAAATAATCTAACAATATCACGAAGACCACACTCAAGCAAAATGCTGTTGAAGATCATCCAAAAAAACTGAAGCAGTACATTGACAGAGAACTACCAAAAATACAAGCCAGGTTTAGAAGACGCTGTGGCTCTAGGGTTTTCATCACAAATGTCAGATGGATCATGGCTGAAAGCAGAGAGTGTGTACAACAGATTGTGGCCAACCCTAGGAAGAATGGGAATCCCAGAACACCTGATTCTGCTCATGTGAAACCTATACTTGGACGAGGAGGCAGTCGTAAGAACACAGCAAGGGAACACTGCATGGTTTAAATTCAGGAAAGTCATATGTCAGGGATTAGTCCTGTCTCCATACTTTCTCAATTTATACACAGAACAGATCATTCATGAGACTGGACTTTACGAGCAAGAATGTGGCATTAGGAGGAAAACTCATCAACAGCCTATGTTATGCTAATGTCACAACTTTGCTGAAACTGAGGAGGACCTAAAGCACTGGCTGCAGAGGGTCAAGGATTATAGACTGCAACATGGATTGAAGCTCAATATCAAGGAAGCTAAGATTCTCACCACTGGGCCAATTGACAGCATCATGATAGATGGAAAAGAGATTGAAATTGTTAACAATTTAAATGTGCTTGGTTCCACAATCAACACTCTTAGCACCAGCAGTCAGGAAATCAAAAGACCAACTGCATTAGGAAAATCTGCTGTTGGGGACTTTGCCAGAGTGTTAAAGAGCAGTGATGTCAGTCTAGAGACTAAGGTGCACCTGATTCAGACCATGGTCTTTGCAATTACTTGTTGTGCATCAAAGAGCTGGACAATGACCAAAGATAACAGAAGAAGAATTGATGCCTTTGAGTTGTGGTGCTGGAGAAGAGTATTGAACATACCATGGACTACTAAGAGAACTAACATGTCTTTCCTGGAGAGAGTGAAGCCAAGGTGCTCCTTGCAAAGCAAAGATTCTGAAGTTCTGACACACTTACTTTGGGCTTGTTGCCAGGAGGGAATAGTCCTTGGAGAAGGACATAATGCTGGGAAGGGTAGAGGAATAGCACACAAGAGAAAGACCTGGGATGAGATGGATTGACACAGTAATTGGGGTAATAAGGGTAGTTGTGTTAGAGGCAGTGAGATTAGCTTTACATAAAACAGGGTTCAGAGTCATTGTGCATAGAGTCACTAGGAGTAGTGGTCAACTAGACAGCAAAAAAACCCCAGAAAACAACAACAGAAAAAATAAAAACTACCATTAAATACATGAAAAGATGCTAAAGTTTGTTTATAATAATTGAAACACAAAATAATATTGAGTTACCCTTCCTCACCATTAGGTTGGTTTGAGGATAGATTTTTGTTGATGAGGCCACAGGATAGCAGACACATTCATATTCTTCTGATGGTAATGCAGAATCATTTCCATCAATGGAGAAGAATTCAGCAAATTTTATAACTCTGTCTAAAAACTATTTGACTTTTCTTTTTAAAAAAGATTATTATTAATTTCAGTGAAAATTTACTGAGACTTGGATTTCCATTCATTCAATGTTGCACTTGTCTCCCCTCCCAACCCTCCCCTCAGCACACTACCCTCTTGGAAAAGTAAAAGAAAAATTCTTTCATTGTTTTACAACCCCTCCCCCCAGGTCTACTCCACTATGCAGCCTTCACTCTGGACTCCTGTCATGACAAAAACACCTAATCACATATCCCTTTTAAACAGTTTTCTCCCTCATCTGTTTTAATGCAGTATACTTACAACCATTATTATATTATTATACCCATCTTTCTCAGTCTCCCCCCAAGTCCAAGGTCAGTCCTGTTTTACAACAGTGGCACCATGCAGTATTTGTCCTTTTGTGACTGAGATACTTCACTCAGCATAATGTCCTCCAGAGTCACCCGTTTTGAATAATATTGCATGAGTTACTTGTTTTTCAATGCAGCATAGTATTCCGTTGTGTGAATATACCACAGTTTCTCTATCCATTTGTTTGTTGATGGGCATTTGGGTTGTTTCCAACTCCTTGCTATTGTGAACAAAGCTGCAATAAACATGAGTGTGCATATATCTGCTTGGATGTCAGTTATGGTCTCTTTGGGGTATATTCCCAATAGTGGAATTGCTGAGTCAAATGGTATCTCTATTTGCAACTTTTTGAGAAAGTGCCATGCTGCCTTCCAAAGTGGTTGCACCATTTTATACTTCCACCAACAGTGAATAAGGGTTCCAGTTTCTCCACAACCTCGCCAGCATTTGTTGTTTGCTGTTCTGTTAAATTTTGCAGTTCTGACTGGGGTGAGATGGTATCTCATAGTTGTTTTAATTTGCATCACTCTTAGAGCTAGGGATTTTGAACATTTCTTCATATGCTTGT